CCGTTACGCTTTGCCAGTGTTTCCAACTGTACCGCGGAGAACTCCGTCACGGGAACGCAATTGTGCCGGTGCAGTAACCGCAGGATTAAGATAACTCGGTGTGCCATAAATTCCCTGATGAAGTCATCACCTTAAGAATTCCGGTAGCCATGGAAACAAAGGTCCTTTGTGGGGCAAAGGCATCCTCTGTTCGCTCACGGGGAACCGGAACAACAATCGTAAATATCGCGGCGGAAAGGAGAGCGCACGGAAATATCGATCGCGTGTGGAGCGCACAATGGCTGCCCGAATATTTATCAATGTATAGGTAGTCGGTTCCTGTGTTATGTTGCAACAGCACGCGGTCCCCTCCCGTGAACAATTACAAGTGGATGACTACGAAAGGTTAATCGTTTACATTGTGACGCGTGTTTGCGGTGCCGTGTTACCGGGTGGGCTTCCGGTTTGTAAAACCGGCCGTTACCATCGCGAAACACGTGCAAAAATTGCACACCGCGAGGGGAGTGGGTATCGATTGGTCATTGCGGTTTACTTTTTACTCTTCGATGAACCCGGGGATTCATGTTTCGCGCGGCGTTGTCAGCGGCCGGGCTAAATGATTACACGGCTGGCCTGAGTCACCGGAGCCTTTGTTGGGAGTAAAGTGAAAAATGACTGCCGCCGTGCTCACCTGTCCCCCCACCACGCCGAAAAAAACAACAAATAATTTTACACGATGTTTCTCGTCGATAACAATTTCCAAGCTTCGAGGAAGTTTACCGTTTAGAGGATGGTTTGAGTAGCTTGCATGCGTTCAGGCTTAACTGTTTCGCATCGATGGTAAATTTTCTGCGCGAGCAATTATCCGATTTAATGGCGATAACAAGTTAAGAGATCCTTGTATTGTAATTACCGCCGAGTATAATGATAGTAATCGTACGATTTCACTCGAACATGGAAGTAACAGCAAACAGACTAAAAATCACTATGGGTCGCGTGCAGAAAAACGCTACCGACTCACGTGGAACTTGGCGTATTAATCGAATTTACTGAAATTATTGTCGTAGCAGGTGGAAACTCTCGGATAAACTTGTTGAGTGCCGACAGCTTGGTAAATAATGTTCCGTTCAGATAAGGAATACAATTTGAGTTAGTTTCGGATCAGATTGGGATTATGTTCAATGGGTCTGGGCTAGTTGTCTTCTAACATAGACAAAACGAAAACGTGTTCTTCTCTAAAATATCACATATCCTGGAAGCACAACGAATTAGCAAATTAAAGTCTGGATGTTTGTAAAGATAAAGTTACCCATGCAGGTCATTCCTTCTACATCGGAACAAAGAGTGAGGCACGATGATACACGAATGCCCTCGGTGCATTAGAGATATTACAAGAATTAGAAGAGATTAAATGCCAACAAGCTGCAAGTCCACGTTGTCGCGGGAACGACAGCTAAATACACCGAGCCACCGTGAATGATGAAGCGGGACGTGCTCCATTATCGTCAAAACGTTTTGCATAAATTATCCAGAAGCCGTGGGAGGGGTTGGGGGGACGGATCGATCGCGGTGAAGTTTCGATCGACCAGTCAAGATGACACTGATCGCGCGATAAATCTCGTAGAAGGGGGGCTTTGTTTCGACGACCGTAAGAACGTTCTTCCAAGATGAGGATGAGGCAGGAACAACGAGAGGGAAGAGAAAAATGAATTTACAATGATTTACAGTGAGGATATCGTCCCCCTCCGGTTATTATATACACGAAGCAGCTTCCGTGACGGGAAGCCATTTTTCACGAGGGCCACGAAGAATACTTATGGCTGGTTGACGTTTTAATCGATCTGTAAATAGCCGGTAGAACGCCAGGCTCGAACGCGGCCTCGTTCCAACTATGGATATTGTAATAATTGCATGGAAGAATTAACGACTACGACAGCTGCAGCGAACGGGAGATACCGTGAAATGCGGCATATCGCGTGAATACCTTTTTTAACTAGTTAGGTTTGGTGTTACGTCTGGTGGTTAGGTATGTTAGGTTTTGTGGTTAGCTGTGGTGTTAGCTCTTGTGGTTAGCTTTGGTGTAAGGTTTTGTGGTTAGCTTTTGTGTTAGGTTTTGTGGTTAGCTGTGGTGTTAGCTCTTGTGGTTAGTTTTCATGGTTAGGTGTGTTAGGTTTTCTGGTTAGCTGTGGTGTTAGGTCTTGTGGTTAGCTTTGATGTTAGGTCTTGTGATTAGCTGTGGTGTTAACTCTTGTGGTTAGTTTTGATAGTTAGGTGTGTTAGGTCTTGTGATTAGCTGTGGTGTTAGCTCTTGTGGTTAGTTTTGATGGTTAGGTGTGTTAGGTATTGTGGTTAGCTGTGGTGTTAGGTCTTATGGTTAGATGTGGTGTTAGTTTTGTGGCTAGCTTTGGTGTTAGGTTTTGTGGTTAGCTTTGGTGTTAGGTTTTGTGGTTATCTTTGATGTTAGGTCTTATGGTTAGTCATGATGTTAGGTTTTGTAGTTAGGTTTGGTGTTAGGTGTAGTGGTTAAGTCTGATGGTTAGGTATGTGATGCGTTTGATAGTTAGGTAGTATGTATACAGAGTTGTGCCAGGTTTATATTAGGCCTAGGTGTTATCTGATCCAGCGTTTCCTAGTCATGTTACAATTCTATGAATTCAATATACATGAACACCGAGTGTCGTATTACAATTGGTGACTAAACTATCCCATCAGTAGCATTTAGAAGTACTAATGGCATTAAATGTTTGATGAATTTCAGTTATTGTCATAAGAAAATAGTCCTTATTTCGTTCTACGGTGGGCATACATGGTGCACGTCTAACTTCACTAATATCTCAATAGGAGGTGTTGAGTAAATAATCTTAATACAAGGCGGTATAGAAGATTTTTTCCAGACTTCTATATGTTATATTTAAAAAGCATATGGACTTATACCACTAATGCTTTCAAAGGCTAATATCTGCCATCGTGAATGTTCTTAACTGTTACTAATTTCGCATGAAGCCAGCAACCGGTCGCTACAGACCCGACTGCACCATATAAAAAGACAGCTGGGAGAAAATCAAAGTTAATGTCCGGACCCAGGCTAGTTTAATACAGTCACTTTGTCTCATTTAATATGCCTGAAACAAAGGTGGACGATATTCCAGTCCCCTCAGGCCCGCACGTGTCCACCTAGCCTCGCATCTCTTATCCACCCCTCTCTGTCCCCGGCAGAGGCTTTTCTCTTCTTATTTCGCGAAATCTTCCGGCCCGATCTCGTCGCGCTTTAATATACCCACGATTACGCGCCAGCTCGCGACTTTATGAGAACCACCGTGCAAGAGACCTCCGCCCTCCCTCTTCTCGCCCAGCGTACTCTTCCCGTGCAGGGAGTTACCCAACGGCAGGGGGAGTTATTCTTTTATATCTTCTGCAGCAGGTTTCGCGGAATTCATATTTTCCTGACGGATGAAGAGAGATCCTGGCACGAGAAAATGACACCGGAGAATTGAAGAAGATTGCGGCGGTCGACGAGCACGTCTAGCAAAGAACGAAAAGTTTCTACGTTTCTGCAGGAAGCTGTTTGGGGTAGGGACTCTATTGAAGTAACTATCATTTCGAGGGCGAGGACATTCATTGGTCAATCATAATTTCATTTTAAAATACAATGTTGCATGCTTCAGGTGAAGTTAGTTCAGTAACCTTTGCGAAAACAGTTTGGAAATACGCAATTCCAGTGATGCAACTGATCCCATGCCAAGTGTATCAGAGTTTACTACAGGTCTGACCAGATACACGCCTTTTCTACTGGCACAATAGTAAAGTCAGGCGCAAGCTCCGGTTTCTTACCATCTTCACGACCCACTTACTTTAACATTTTATTACTCTGTCCCTGTTTTGGCTCGATTGTCTCTCTTAATTTTAAACTTTGGGATATACGTTCGAACCCGAAAATTAGGTTTAATGCCTACGACGCTTAGGAGCGAGGAGAGAAAAAAATGAATGTTGTCGAGCATTTGGAAAATATACCGCGCGTTAAAATTGCTCTGGTTGCAGAACGGAACGTCGAAATTATATTTCCCGGTCACTGTGATACACGATTCGCGGGCGAAATTTTTATGAAACCTATCCAATAAATTTTATTGAAATCCACTAGTGGTACGCGATACACGGAATTCGTACGATTGTTATAAATGTCCCGTAGTTTCCTTTGTAGGGTGGAAAATAGTTAAACGAATGCTGAAAAACAGATATATAATAAAACGATTTTAGTGTAATACTTTAACGTCTTATTTAATCAGGTGTGAATAAATTCTATTGACTGGTGTATAATGTTCCATTCAAAAATTTTCCAAGTTCGACTATGTTTGATTAAGTGGTCCTTAAAGTTTGACTGTTTGATTAAGTGGTCTTTCATGTTTGACTATATGGAATTAAGTGGTGTTAAAAGTTTGACTATGTTTGATTATGTGATCTTTGAAGTTTGACTATGTTTGATTAAATGGTTTTGTTGAGTGTGCAGTCATTTTTAATTTATCCAATGTAAATTTTACGAAGTTTCGCGACCTCTTCAAGTGATTTAGCCAAGACAATGGAGGAACGTACATTGACATTCCGACGTGTGTGCTCGACACAGTCATCTAAAGTGGAGTATCTTCGTGTTTAATGCGGCATACGCTGTTTATTTATGAGAGTACGAGTACTTCTGGTATGCAATGAAGGGATTATCGTAGCATACCGTCATAATTACACTAGGTGTGTCTTACTGGGGTGTGTGTTGGTAATGCTGCAGTTTATTATTCTTAGAGAATGACACTGCAGTTATGTTCCCAGAGTTAACTGTCTTCTCACGAATAATGTTAATGAATTTTCTTGAATTCCATTTGTCTTTTGAAAATTTACTACATTTGAAGGAAGAACCTTATCTTGAATAACGTTCTAGTCTTAACATCGAAGCCTTCATCACTTTGTAAAGTTGTGTTTCCATTGTTTAAATATAAGACTAAAGGTACTAAGATCGACACAGTTGAAAGTCTTACCAGTCGACGGTAGCCTTCGCCACATACATCACCTGACTTTCTCTGTCAGGGTTCAAAGGATGATGATAATGATGATCGTTGATCGGCGCAATGGAGTGACAGAGAAGACGAGTCTCCCTTCGATCAATCATCGTCAGGTTATAAGGCGACGCCAGAAGTCGAGACGATATTCGATCTAAGGCTAGCCACTGTTTATTGGCTACCACCCAGGATGGATATGCACATCGTTTTGGTGGATTTTCTGAAAATAGACATACAAACACACATTAGAAATATCTCTAAATTCTTTTATTAAAACGACACTTAAATTTAAAACACTCATCTTTCATGTATGTTTCAACATTGTGAATATTTTAAATAAAATCGTTAATTTTGCAATTGGAATAAAACAAAATTATATAAGCATCGTAATTAGTTTGAGGAATTTCTTTCTAATTTTGTTATAAAAATATGATGGTGGATACTAGAGTGAAGGATCAAATTATTAGTTAATTACAAATTATCCAGTGTAAAGACCTTGACACTGTGATTTTATTTCTACTCAAACAAAAAAAAAAACGTATTATTCGTACTGTGGCTCCAGTAATTCGATCATCCACTGTATAGGATCCGATAAGTTTGATCCTTCACGGAAGTTAAATACGATTAGACTTCCAAGAACAGGGATGGTGGCGACGATGGTGTACCAGACTTCACTCTATCCTCGAAATAATATAACTCCGTCACTAACACAGTTATTCCAACCTCGAAATGCATAATACAACTAGAAACTCATTCCCGACTTTTCAAGTTCGCCATGTTCTCGCGCTGGTAAACCAAACCACCGTTAAACTTCGTTTCTTTTTCTGTTCCCCGTCTGCTATACATTTAATTATACGACTGTCGTGCCAATCTTTCTATCGGCGGTGACGGAGCGAAGTGGAAAAGAAAAACTATTGAATCTCTCCTTGTAGTGCACCGATTCAATGAAATTTTAATTTTAAATTCCAATGGAACTGTTGCAACCGAAATTCCAGACGGAAAATCTTTCCTTAATGTAACAGGGCTGCCAACATGCATTTAAATGGGTTACCACCGAATGAATTTGTCCATCGATCGGTTATTAAATTCCTGGAAAACTCTTCATAGAAACATGAAGATTCGTAATTAATTAAAACGGTTTAATGGTTTGTAAAGTACCATATAAATGAAAACTTTCGAAAGAAAAAGTGAAACTCTCATATTGGTGCAGTGACTTTTCTGAGGATATTTCAAACAAGCATTTGCGGATCAATGATATCGCTTTCCTGATCGATATATTGATCGCCTATTGGTACGCTGCATATACATCGCCGCTTGTGCATTTTTAACGGTCCATTAATTCGTGCACAGTGATTGATAGCTGCGAGCAGTCGACCATCGACACGATAACTGTTTGTAGACGACAAAGCTGACGCGCGTTTATGGACGAGCTTTGCGTTGTCCGTGAACCATTCTGAACTCTAAGCTTCTTTTTTTGCCTGGTACAATTTTCTCATCCTTCCGATACACAGAAAATCGCACACTGTTTGATTTATTTTTGGTGCCGATGTTGCAGTAAAAATGGGTCACATAACAGTAATATCGAATGAGGTAGTATATTCCACTGTTTGATTATGTACTGACCAATACTACTGAAACTCTACACATAAGTACAATTTGTTATCCAATACAATGCTTTCACTTATTTCAATATTATTTCGTTGTATTTACGGATACCCGTGGTTCTTGATTCCGTTTCGAATTAATTTCATTCCCGTTCCATTGTCCTTTCCCCGAGAAAGAAATTCCATTCGCTGTTCGATGCAAATCAAGACTGTATCTCAGGATTTCGTGTTAAACGACACCGTTACCGCAGGATAAATACCAGTTACTGTAAAATTCCGAATTCACAATGTATGTCACTAGGTTTTTCATCTCTGCTTTCTTCTCTCGGAGTGTTCAATTCATAAGAAGGTTTCAAATAACTGGCTTTGGATGTTTGACTATGTTTGATTACGTGGTCTTCGAAGTTAACCATGTTTGATTAAGTGATATTCAAAGTTTGACTATGTTTGATTAAGTAATATTCAAAGTTTGACTATGTTTGATTAAGTGATATTTAAACTTTGACTATGTTTGATTATGTGATCTTCGCAGTTGACCATATTTGATTAAGTGATATTTAGAGTTTGACTATGTTTGATTAAGTAATATTCAAAGTTTGACTATGTTTGATTAAGTGATATTTAAAATTTGACTATGTTTGATTAAGTGGTCTTCGAAGTTTGACCATGTTTGATTATGTGATCTTCGAAGTTAACCATGTTTGATTAAGTGATATTCAAAGTTGGACTATATTTGATTAAGTGATATTCAAAGTTTGACTATGTTTGGTTAAGTGGTCTTCGAAGTTTGACCATGTTTGGTTAAGTGGTTTCCGAAGTTTGACCATGTTTGGTTAACTGACTTTAGAAGTTTGACTCTGTTTGCGTTTTGTCAATTGATTTATTATTACTTTCGCTCATCTGTAATCCTTATTACCTCTAAAAAGAAATCCTGTTTTCTCATTCCACTTAGTTGTCTCATTTCTCGCACAAAGGTTTGAAAAGACAGAAACTCTGAGTTGAAATCCCGTCCCTGGGGGATACTTTTCCCCTGCCCTTATATCTTTCTGAACGTTTCAACCCGAACGAAATCTCGGCCAAAGGACATTACTGTGAGTAATGTTCTCTTCACCCATCCGAGGTAGGAAAAGTGGTGGAGAGAGCTTCGAGATTCTGGGGCTAATCTGCCTTCTGGAAAGTTTAAATGGAAACGCGGACCAACGCCGGGGAACGGGGTTAACGAAACATCCGGCCTGATGTTGCAGCCGCGCGGCGCTGAGAAATTTTTAATCTGCTTAGCGCACGAATCGAATTCAACGCAGAACCAGTTCCCAATTTGAAAATTCTATTATCACTAACATGACTCTGTGAGCATATTAAGAAAGATAAGAGTATTAGTCCATTGAACAACGAAGAAACTATTGATTAATGATAAAGTCCGTCCCTTATACGTTGTTGCTTTGAATATCGTTATCAGTAGAAATTACTTTGGGATTCAGAAAACGTCACTGGAACCTGGCGCATGTTCCATATGGCACGAAATAAATCTCGCCCAGCGCTTGTACAGGCAACATGCAATCAGTCATATATCCCGGGAATCCACCGGAATGCGGTTTACCGCGAAGCCAGAAACAAAATCATCTCCATCTGATACGATTGTCTATTCATACCTACGCTTACAGACCACCGCAATGCGAAGAATAGAGATCGAAGAATGAAGATTCTATTTAAACCAAACCAGAGGCAATACGATGAGTTTTCGAAAGCTTCCACGGTTCGAATAATGAAACAAATAAAAATCAATATTGCATACAAAGACCACTGTAATGAATACTTCAAATTATCAAACATCGAGCCAACAAGAGGAACAATAAAAATGACGAACGTTTTCATGGTACCGTCAGCTGAAATTCCATTCTAGTCCGATCAGATACAACCAGTCAAAGATTCGAGCTGAGTATAATGTCCAATAAAATCAAACCCAAGAATGTCCGGCGTCGCTCCCACGGCTCGAACCGTCACCTCAATTTGGTTAACCGTGGCTGCAGCGTCCAGAATCATCGCAATCTGGTAAGGTTACGTGCAGCTATGCGATACCATGGAATATTCCAAGTACCTGGTCGTCGACAACCGCACGGTTCCGATGGCATACGGGGCAAGAATTCGATTTGGTGTCCACAGACACCCTCATAGTTTACGTACTCTTGTTCTTCCAAGCCAGTTTCTACCACCGCTCGCGGTCGATCTCATACCAAGGTGATCATGAGTGAACGATCTAGCTTTATCTGAACACGCCTACAGCTATCAGTCCTGTTAGCTTTCGTAGATACACAGCGACAAAATAATTTGATCAAGCTATATGACTATACAGTAAATCCTCGACGAGTGTTTGAAGGTTCTGCGGTACTAAACATTCCATGTTTCATCAACTAATGGCCATATGCGACTGGAACAAATATCACTGGCTGTAGACTTCCAAGCTGAACCTCGTTATACTCTCCTTGTCAGTGCCGAGAAGCCTTCGAACACTCATCGAGGATTGTATTTTTAAACACCATTACAGAACAGTCTACATTATTCGTGTGAAAGTTCACACCCTAGCAACGCAGGGATAATATTTAATTATACTCACTCTGCCACATCTTGTACGTCTTGGCAGCGTCATTGACACTGAAGCCGCTGCAACCGGCATCGGCACTTTGCGCCAAATTCCACGAGCTGTTCGACGTTTGCTGATAAATGAAGCATCTGTAGCTCTCCTCCTTGCTCGTTTCCCGATCAGGGATCGTTTTCAGATGCAACCGCGCGACCAAATTGTGCGTGCTGCCCTCCTTCCACGTGGCGAAACATTCTAGCTCCACATCTAGAAAAGACCAGAAAACAAAATTCTTGCTAGATTGTTCTTTCAAGGAAAGACCTAGTGAATATATGAAAGCCTTCCCCGATATCTCGACTCATAACAATGGCGAGTGGAATATGAAGTGTGAATTTAGTCCGCGATCACTGTCGAAAATTAGAGGCAGAAATATTCTAAACGTCGATAAACCGTGCGTTACCGCCGGGAATGAATTATATACAGCGCTTTCGTACCGACCACGCTCGTCCATTTATACGATCGCGACCGTAATAACCACGGAAAATCGTTCGGACCAGCCGAGCAACAAATGGTAATTGACAAGACCATTAATCATTTACTGCGACGCCGCAAGCTTTATTGAGCGTTACAGGCACCCCAGTGCCGTGTTAATCAATGTTGCGACCGAATATTATTAATGGCGGTGAAATCGTAACGACACGACTTACGTTGCCCTGATGAGCAAGACTGAAACACAGCTCTGCAAATCTGACTTCGAAAGGTTTCAGACTAGTCATTCTAAGGATGATAGCTAACTTCATGGAAATTGATCCTAACCACATAGCGCTATAAAACGTAACATGCAACCTAATTCAGTAGATGCTAAAATATGGGTTACTTTTTTGGAACGGATTACTTCTGGGTGAGGTTATGATATTTGTTAGGTTCAGGCTAATCAATGATCAGAACAGAGGGTTAGGTTCTGGGAACGATTAGGTCCTAGGAGTGGTCAGGTCCGAAAAGTTACCAGGTGCTAAAAATTATCAGACACTGGAGTTGCCAGGTCCTAAAAGTTGTTGGGTCCAAAAAGTTGTCAGGTCCTAGAGGTGGTTAAGTCCTAAAGGTGGTTAGGTCTTAAATTGGTTAGGTCCTAAGAGTGGTTAGGTCCTAAGAGTGGTTAGGTCCTAAGAGTGGTTAGGTCCCAAGATTGATTAAGTGATAGAAGTGGTGAGGCTCGGGTATTTACCCGATTTAGGTTAGTTAGCCTAATTAATGAACAGAGCCGATATGTTAAGTCCGTGTTAGGTTTGAGAAATCGGTCAGGTTTAGATCTGGGACAGTTCGATCAATGAGTAGCACTACAAAAGATAATTCCAGGTACGATTTAAGTTGAATAAAACAAAGTGTCACGAAGGAAAGTCACTAACCAACACTCTCAGAGTAGAGAACGTTTGCGCACGCCTGGTACCGCAAGAGTAATCGCGACTCCTGGGTGCATGTCTCCGCAGTAGAGGACGGCGATTTGCACTCCTCCTCTCCACGGCTGTACGAGAACTCCAACGGACCTTTGAAGGGACAGGGAATTGGTGCTGCTCCCGTGCGGAACAACGAATTGAGACAGTCGTCTGTGGTCAACGCGTTGCACGTTGACGACAAGCTAGGCTTTGGATCCTCCGTGTTACAGTAGGCTGAAAAAGAAACGTTCGATTTCTGAATAATTCACAGGAACTTTGCTTCCCATTATCGACGATGACTTATGATCGTAAACGAGACTCACTTTCTTTATACTGAAGCACGTTTGGATGTTTCATGTGCATCACGATGCAGCGATAGCAATTCTCCTTCCTGTAACAAAATCGAGAATAACGTGTGTTAATTTTATTTACAGAAAAGTACAACCACTCAGGTTACAAACACTTATAAAGATGTCGTCATAAAACCCTATGAATATCAAGTTCCCGGAGGACTCATACTTTTCATTCTGAAATTATTGAAGCAGCACAACGTTGGCGCCATTTTCCAGGGTAATCGCGGGCGGTGGCCAAGAAGTATATCGCGCTGACGGACAGAAACAAAGGTAAACTTCGTCTCGAGCCAGCAGGAAGAGAGGCACCAGGAGCGAAGAACATCCACGGAGAAAGGAAAAGGGGGCGCGGAGGGTGGGAGGACCTGGACGAAGGAACAGAGCCAGGAAGAGAAGGAGACTATGGTAGAAGGTAGGAGTTGCAAACCGGAGCTAAGTAAGCAAGGTGCCAACTAGTAGCGACACAAGACAAGCTCCAAAAGTTTTAAGTAGCTACGCGATACTACTTGGACCCAGCTCCCGGTCCATTCATCCCCCGTCCACCCTCCCCCTCGTAACCGCCGTGGCTGTCTCTATTGCGTCTCGCAGTTTGTCTTTTCAACGAGTACAAATGCCCGTGGAATGTGTGCACGCCTACGTTGCCCCTACCGTCGAAAATTTGCGCATCCTTACTTCCAGCTGCTGATGGGACATCTTCGAACAGAAAGCTTCAGAGCCGTGGGGGTTTGGTTTCCCGTAGTGTTAGGAGGTTTCGAAGATGCTACCGAGGAACTGATCTGACAACTGGTACGAAAATTCCGACTCTCGAGGACGAGAAGCATCCTCTTCAATTGTGAGATCTGGTGTCAGTTTAGGGGATAGGAGATGAAAGATTCTGGGAATTTCGTAAACATTTATTTTAAGTCTATTACATACCGACGAGGCGAATATTTCTGCGATACGTAATTTACGTCAGTTCCATCGCATGGCTTTATATCACGTATGAATTTATTTTCAAACCGTGGAAAACCGAGGATCCCTATAAATCTTTTACGATTCGAAGTTTTACTGCAAGGGACACGGATCGTTTTCCCGTGTGTTTATCGGGAGTCACTCATCATTTAAATGCACCGCACGCTGAATTGGTTTCAGAGCGTAACATCAATGTGAGAAGCATAAAAGTAGCTACGACAAGACAAACACGCGCGCGGGATCTGTGTGTGCGCGCATCCGGGCACGTCGATACACGGATGCGACGCACGGTTCGAAACGTTTTCGGAACACAAATACCCGTATGCTATCGATGGTTCATGTATCATGAAAAGAATACAGAAAAATGTATTCGGCAATCTGTGACGTGTACAGATCGCTAGTTCCCGGGAATATTTTCTGCGCTTTACTTGGTCCGCTTTAGTTTCGAAATGGACAGGTCAGTCTATTTTCTCCCGTCATAATATGAGAAATAAAATGTTGTTCATGGAAAATACGTTAATTTAAATGTTAAGTCACGATGCGTTTAAATTCAGTAAAAAGATTTTCCTTTCGTTTCAGAGGTAAACGACGCAGAAACTCGACTGTGAATTTGTGCATCTGTATCATTGGTAATTATGAAAAATATTAAACAGTTTCCATCTGCTGTAGTCTGCCGAGGAACAAACCCCTTAGGGCAGCGTCTGTCGGGATCGTTAATTTCTTCAAGTCAATTAGAGCTAATTACCTTTCGCCAGCAGAGCGTGAGGAACGTCGTAGGAACAACTGCTCTTCCGCCTTTTAATGCGCGAAATTGTAATAATCTCGCTGTGGATCCCTTATGACTGTACATCTTAGGGGAGACGCTTTGCTGGAAAACGGGTACGTGCTGTGTATAATTATCGCAGCGAGAGAGGTCTCTCATTGATTACTGCACGACGTTCAACTGGTCATTGTATGAGAACAGGTTGCTTGGATTACAGTGTCTCGGAGTTGTCCGATCAATGTGCCAAAACAGACATGTGGCAGTTTGAGCAGTGGATAGAATATGGCCAGGATTAGGATGTCTGATCAGTGATCAACATTTGTGTTAGATGAGGTCTGGGTTAAGTTAGCTAATTATTAGCTTGCCTGATCAATGTGTAGCATATAATCGTAATTAGGTTGATTGATCAATGGGTAGGACTTAATCAGGGTTAGGTTGTCTGATGAACCTGACTCGTGATGGTTTGTCTGATCAATAAGTAGGAACTGCTATAGGTTAAGTTGACTGATCAATGAATAGCAACTGGTATAGGTTAGGTTGTCGGATCAATGAGTAGCAACTGGTATAGGTTAGGTTGTCTGATCAATGAGTAGCAACTGGTATAGGTTAGGTTGTCTGATCAATGAGTAGCAACTGGTATAGGTTAGGTTGTCTGATCAATGAGTAGCAACTGGTATAGGTTAGGTTGTCTGATCAATGAGTAGCAACTGGTATAGGTTAGGTTGTCGGATCAATGAATAGCAACTGGTATAGGTTAGGTTGTCTGATCAATGAGTAGGAACTGGTATAGGTTAGGCTATCTGAGGAATGAATAGCAACTGGTATAGGTTAAATTGTCTGATCAATTTGCAGCAACTGGTGTGTTAGGTTCTCTTAGAACTCGTAGTCGAAGAATAAATGATACCTTGGAAAGGAACATCACTGTATTACTCGTTGGACCAAACGGGTTTCTACCTCACCGTACAAGTGATTACTTTTTGTATTATTCGAAAAAAGGAAACGCAGACACTTTGTCGCGGAAAAATAAAACGTCCAGGGCTTTGAATGCTTCGATTTTCCATATTTCAAATTCCGTCCCGGATAGAGGGAAAACAATTTTCGCGTAACAGAGAAACTCGTTACTCCGGAATAAATTTCCCAGGCGGAGCGGGGGCAAGCTAAAAAAAACACGCGCCCGATTTTTAATCAAAATCCGTTTCGTCGGCCAGAAAAACCGTGCGCAGTCGGCCTCGTGGTACGTAGATATAAATTCGTCGGGGTTCGAGACGGTTTCACGTCGATGTGAGCTTAATTATCGAAGGGATCGGGGTCCTGGTGTGACTGTTCCCTCAAGTCGAGTCCTTCGACACTTGTGACGCGTCAGGTTCGTGCCCACCTAGCGGAGACTTCACCACCACTTGTCGGCGAAGTTATTGCACCACCCGTCGTGGGACGAAAAACTTTGTAACTGAACCGTTGACCCGATTTCCCTCGTTATCGTCGCCTGGATGATCCCGTTTACTGGTAATATCGAGGCGAGTACTGTATTAACATAACCTCAAACTTCAGTCTACTCTGCTAACTCCTGCATTTAATTCTCTGCCTCTATCTTCCCATCATTTTGTAGAATCTACCTACATTGCCACTGAACACATTGCCAGATGAGGCACTTCCCCATCAGACGTACTTTCGTGCACACAAATTCGCTCTCCCACCACCCAGTTTTTGCGCAGCCGCTGAAGCCGAGGCCATGGCGACTTTTAGCATGGAGGGGGCTCTGAATTAATTGCCATTTTACTCTCCTATAGCCCCAAACATGGCAATATAGTTAGAGTCTACTGTACTTGGCTAAGCATAGTCTGCGTCTAGGTTGGGTCACAGACATCAGGGACTGGAAAATGGTCCCTGAGACTCGAAGGCTAACCTAGCTTCATGACTGTTGTTTACAGTGAAACATAAGGATCCTATTTACCAACTGACTTGAGTTAGTATTCTGGACTGATGGCTCTGACTCTGGACCTTAAAAACCGGCGCAGAACCAGAAGCTACCAACATAACCATGGCAAGGGGAGCAATTATTAGGCCCAAGAGTATATTAATATTCCTTTTCCATTGTCTTGCAACAGTTCTCTTACAAAATTAAAGATGATTTGCTCTAAAGCTTTCCCTTATCGACACCTCTAAAAACGCACCAAGGTGCAACAACTTCACCGTTACCGTAGTCCCAGCCTACCCTTCAGCCTCAAAAACTTTTGTCTGTTCGATCACAGAGGCGACGCTCTCGAGCCTCCGCGTTTCCAAACAGTCCCACGATCTGCAATTCGAAAGTTGTCGAAGTTTGTATGCATGTCAACGAAGCCGCGGACACGGGTGCACGATACCCCGGGATCGGTTTCGGGGCTTCGTGATCGCATTCGGCCGTAACTATTATCGAGACTGAAGCGTCCGGGACCCTATTCCACCCTACGAGGCGCGCGAACCGCAAACGACTCGAAGTTAAACGTGGGGTAAGCTTTTCCCGATACTTTCGCAGGAATTGCTTCGGTTTCAGGCTCCAAAATCTCTCGGTGCCGCCTGAGAAATTAACCTTTCGAAATTTTGTTTGGTCTTCGAACTACCAAAATATGGACTTTTTAATGATTTGCCTAACTAATATATATACTATAAGAAAGTTTCCGTTTTATCCGTGGAATGAAGAATCATATTTTCAATTCACCGTCCGTTCCGTCGACTGCCACGCACTCGCAATTCTTCCGGGTGTCATTAACCATTCCAACGGAACACACACACACACACCGTTCCCGTCGCAATTTTCAACGTAATTGTCGTGTTTTAAACATCATCCCCGAGTTGCCAACGTCACGCTCGCTCCTCGTGGAGCCACGTTCTTTTTCCGGTTCAGCTTTAATGTAGACCGAACGGAACGCAATTTGTCCGGTCTTTTACCGGAATTCTTTCAACTGCCGCGGTGAATGTTCAGTTTGGAAATTTAATTCGACACTGGTGGTAATTGTTTAAACATTCGAACGTTTCGTGTCTCGACACGGTCGGGCCCTGTAAAATTTTTAATTTAAATTGTTGAACTATAGGATTCACTGGGAAGGTCGAATCTAAATACATCTAAACAGCGGAATCATTTTAAGCCCCCGAGCTTTCATAAACTTTCGCGTCTTACAAGAGCCACTTGGATCCTCGAGCGACGGCAACTACGACGGAAGAAAAATCCGTCTTATTATATCCGAAAGTTTCGCGACTCCCCGTGTGGACCCATTGTTTCACCAACACCGTCGTTTCTTCGCGAACTTCCACCGAATCATTCCGCCCCACTTTTCTATTGTCACGGAATCG